GATTTTCCTCTAAGGTGAGAATGAATATGAACAAAGGCAATACACCCAAAAATACAAGGGATAAGGTTATTAGAGGCCGAGAAGTTGGAGAAAAACCTTAGGAGAACATCAATCGGACTTAGCATTTCAAGAACATGTGTGGGTAGTCTATTGATTAGATGGGTCGAACAGCCTCACCACAGTATTGTTTAGGGGCATGCTTATGAAACAATTAGGTTCAAGTGATTTCTAGGAGATGATTATTTTTTCATTCGGCTAAACCATTTTTCTCTGACGTGGTAACACAAGAAGATTCATGTATAATTCTCCCTTTCTGAAAAAAGGAGAAAAGAATTGATGAAAGTAATCTTTTGCTTTGCTTGAACGAAATCTCTTAATTTTGGTACCAAACTAAGTGTTAACCATATTATAGAAGTTAAGAAAGACTTTGCTCACATCAGATTTATGTTTGAGGAGATAGATACATGTGACACGGGTACAATCATCTATATAAGAAACAAACCATCGAGCACTAAAAACATTGAGAACAGTTGATGGCCCCCAAGTCTCACTTTGTGTCAGACTAAAAGTAACGAGTTTTTTATTACTAAGAGGAAATGAAGCCCGTTTGTGTTTAGCTATTTCACAATCAGTACCATGAAAAGAATCAAGAGCAAGAATGTTCAATAAAGGAAACATTAACTGGATTATCCTAAAAGATGGATGACCTAAACGGCATGATGAAGCCAGATTTTATCCTTATGAGAATGGGTAGACTCAGAAACAAATGATGTAGATATAGGAATATCACCACCTGATAAGCTGCCGAATAAACATAGGACTTTAATGCAATTTGACAGTTGATATTTTTTATCAACCATTTGGTGCAATTATCAGTTTAGTATTAAAATAGAAGATAATAATCGTTATTTGAGGTTTAACATGATTTCTAATATCTCCAATGTTTCCTTCTTTTGTATCAGAAAAATCTGTGGAATGCATGGGTAACAACTTCAGAACTGCGGCATTCTGTCACCCTCAAGAGAATTAAGTTGCTATTGCTGAGGCAAAAGTTGAAATTGACTTCCATCCTGAAAAGACAAGTAAGTTTCAAAACTTCTAGTTTCTCAAAGTATTGAACTAACCCCTGTGGACTTCTTTAAACAAATGAATTTATCGTATCATGCATGTATTTCATTTTTGTATCAATGGATTTACCAAAGTAGGGTTTGACCTTATAATGATTAACTTTTAATAAGTTTCTTGCAATGGTCAAAGTGGGCTGCCTGGCCTTTAATATTTTGAAATCTGCTTAGGAGCAGTTACAATTCAATTACACCATGAAATGAGTAGGTACTCACTGTTTGTATCAATTAATACACATAAAAAATGGCAAAAAAAGAAGAAGAAAATTTGATATATTATTCTTGTCTTCCTTAGAGAACGGGTCACTGTTAGATTTATATTCAAATTTTGGGCACCTTCTGGATTTGGAGGAAGTCAAAAAGCAAAAATGCAAAAAAGAAACCTAGTCAAGAAGAGAAATCCTTTTACTGTTGTATTTCATTCCCAAAACGAAAATGGCTGGTGGTGGCTTGATAATATGACTCCTCCTTAGATCTTCTGTTGCCCTTCCCCACTTCGTGCTAGTTAGAACAGGCCTAATCCTTTCCAATCTCCATTACAAGATGCTGGCTTTTATAGCATGAATTGTTGCCATGATGTACATTTTTATAATTGGTGAATGTAGATAGCTCATTTGGAAGTGTGGGCCCTTCTTGAAAGAGATCACTCTAGCTCTTTGCTAGGAGCAACTGAAGCTTTAAAGGCTAGTACTCTTCGACTTCCAATTGTTGGAAAAGCCACAGTAAGTTTCTTCCCTTTTTTTTCCTTATACTTTTAAATACGCAGTGTGTTAATGATTCAGTTCGCGACTATCAGTGTGGTTTAAAATTTTGCTCTTGTTTTGTCTTTCCATTTTCTCTTATAATAGGTTGATATCCAAAATCTGAAGGATGCTGTCAGTTCAGCAGTTGAGATGATGCAGGCAATGGCAGCTTCAGTATGCTCACTATCATCCAAGGTAAAATTCATTAATTCAATTTTCTGGACATTAGCCTTCCAAAATAAAAACCATTAAGCTATTTTATGTGGTATTTGTTTCTAATCATTGAGTTCTTTACAAGCCAGTTGTAAGTTGTGAAGACGTAGTCAGAGGTTCAGAGCTCTATAGTTAGCTCTTAATTGACGATTAGATAAAAATTTGATTACGGCTGCAGAAAATGGAAAGCTCTCTGAAATGAGAGATTAAAGCACTCAACCATAAATAATAGTCGTGAAACTAGATAGACAGTAGAAGTATTTATGTTACCGTCCGTAGTGGGCATTAAAAGCAGAGATGCGATGTTCCAATTCAGTTGCTTTCTTTATGGGAAAGAGAACTGCTCACTGAAAGATAAGGCTAAAAAGAAGAGAAAGTTAATAGAAAAATCCTTTGCGGCTGATTGGATTCTTTGCCTTGCTTTTCCTATCTAAAAATCAGATCACACGTTTTTGTCAACAGGAGCTACTATTATTCGTTATCAAGAAATACATTCCTTGTCTTTGGCCTGAAATTGCACTTTGAAAAGGGCAAATCTACCTAATTATCTTAATATCATTTGTCCCTTGCAGGTGGAGGAAATGAATTCTTTGGTAGCAGAACTTGTTAGCTTAGCTGCAAAGGAAAAGTTTTTGCTTGAACGATGTAAAGAGTTTTTGTCCGCAATAGCAGCCATTCAGGTTGAAAACGGTGTTTTGTTTTATGTTCCAATCTTTTTTCTGCTTTCATCTGCTCATGCGGCTCATTATGAATATTTTCAACAGGTTAAGGACTGTAGCTTAAGGTCACATATAATACAAGTAAATCACGTATCCACGACCAGCAACCTGACCACACGTGTAGAACTAATCTTATTTGACAACTCACCCTAAACACTAACATTACACCCGAGCTCATGTTTCCTACAATAGGCGGAGGCAGCACCGGACAAAATCACAGCAGACTATATCTTTTAGGTTTGGCTTCTCATTTTAGCAGTTTTAGAACCAGTTGTCTTATGATCTAGTGGCTTTTCCCTTCAACTGATTTTTGTATACAAGAACTAATTTTTTTTGGTTTTTTCTTCTTCTTTCATTAGGTAAAAAGAAAACATTGTATATATAAATATGTAAGTTCATCCGATAATCGATTATCATGTATTTTGTAGGATGATCTCGTTTCCTCATTTCTCTTTATTCATTGAACTGCATCCACATTGATGTTGTGTTGATAGTGTAATCAGGAACCGAGTGCAGGAACACAAATCATGTTTCCACTTCGGATCGAATAAGCCTTGTGATTGAACCACTATGTCCCGGAATTTCTTTTTGGTCATTTTGGGGTGAGATGATCAATGCTTGAAACATATTGAATGTTGGGACAATTTATGTTTCCCAAAACTGTTAATGGAGTTGGAAATAGATAAATTGAGAAGGAAACTTGAAAACCATAAGGAGCATTGAAGCTTCATCTTTGAGTAAACAACACGGATCTATCATTTTCATTCCAATTTCGTCAAGAATGCCACACGGTGAAGGGCCATTCGCCATTTAAGAAAGCATAAAAGTGATCGGATCCGTGACCACTGACTTCAACTTTTTCTTTGGCTTCATCACTTCTTACGGCAAAATGAGTTACCAAAGATACCTATAAAAGTACAAGTTAAGGATGTGGTCCGGCAACACAAAGAAAGCCTTTAGAGGGTGGGGTATCCACTAATTTTGTTGGGTCGAATTTTGGTTATGGTCCTCATGCTATACTCAAATTTGGAGTTTAATCTCTATACTTTTTTTTAATTTGCCATTATTTAATCCCTTTAATTAATAATGTCACTAGTTAGTCCAAATAGGTAATACTGTTTATTATTCTGATTAAGATGTAGACGTAAAATTTTCTTAGAAACATTGCTTCCATCTTAATTTGGCATATACAAGTAGTGGGTTTGTCCAATTGGTGTCAAGTGTCATGGACAACTCATGTTTAGCCCAAACTGATACATATGCAACACCATGTTTACTCTTAGTTAAGGTCAACCTTTTTCTCGTTTATTTGTCTATGAATTATCTATTTTTTTTTTGTGTAATCCAAAGAGCCTTTCATGATTCGATCATATGAATTTATTTATAATTTAAGTTAAAAGATTGCGTGCTCTTGTCACTCTAAACATTTATTGTAAGGAGATTTCAAACATCCGACATGATCGAGGATAATCTTGAATATCTACTAACAAGGTCCCCATCTCATGATGTCTTTCCGGTGGAACCTGGTATAATGCCCACGAATAAATATTGCTTCTCATGTGCCAGAAGCCAAAGACATTAGTTGATAGTATACTACTATTTAGTAGGATCACTGGTAGGTCAATACTGGGTCGCCCCACGCATGGATACTGAACATCATCCTCATGTCCCAAGGCATATCGACACACCTGCTCAATTGGGTATCCAAGACGAGTAGCTTATCCGTCATCTAATGGTCATCCCTCGATATATTGTCTCAAAAGCATTATTTTGTGGGAGGAAGATCACGTGAGGCCTAATGAAAATTAGAATTTAATTCCGTAACTCAATCGCAGGCATCGTACCATTCACTCGGTGGTGTATCACCTATCCCATGGCTCTCGAGGTGTCATCCTTTGCTCCAAAATAAGATAGTCATAACGAGCGACATCGAGGCATACCGATATCAAGCCATAACACCAAGCCTTTAATTATCAACATTATTAATATGTAGCAAAGGTTGTACTTTCCCAGTTAAAATATAAGCAACATGCATGAATGAATGACTGCCTGCTCTTTGTGTGTATTCAAAATGCATCCCACAACTTCCATTGTACAGTAACCATTTGTTCCTTGCAGCACAGTAAAGTTTCACCAGAGTTTGGTTCATGACTATATATGGCCTTCATTTTTGCTAAATTAACATGAAACTAGTTTTTGAATTTAGAAACAGCCCTGAAAAACCCACCAAAAAGACAGCTACTATGTTTTCCTTACATTTCTACTTTAAGAAACTGAATGCCTTCTATTTCTGGATGGTGTTGATTTCGCTTCTTCAGGATTGGCCGAGCCGAGACTCTCTGACGAATCTGAACCACTGTTTTCACCTTTGCTTGACCATATCTTTGAAAATATCCTCTTGGACAGTAAACCTTTCACTCTACTAATGGCGGCTTTGTCGACGCTATTTCTGCTATCACCACCGTTTCTTTCACTCCTTCCTATCCCACTGCCCATCCTCAAGGCAGCTATTTCCCCTTTCAGGGCCTTGAGTCCCTCGGCTGTGGCCACTGCATCCCAATCTTCCTCCGGGTCGGTTGCTGCTGACCTTGAGCTCCTTTGAGATCCGATGTTTAAATCCTTCAGGCCTCTAGGTAAGTCGGGAGTGCTGCTTCCTGATGAAGCAGCAGCCCTCACCTGCACGAAAAACAGGACTTGCACAACTACACGCATCGGGAGCCTCTCGTTTTGCACCGCGTGCATACATGCATCAACTGATAGTTTCTTGCAGTCCATTAACTTGCATATTCTTTTCCTCTCACTCTTGCTGATCCCTGGGTGTTCCTGCATTGAAGCCGAGTAGAGCTAAACATGTGTTCGAGTATAATGTAATTACGATTTAATGAACATCTAAAGAATAGATTTTGGCAAGATTCTCACCTTGAGATACATGTCAATGGCTCGGTAAATCCCATCGTGAGCGGGTCGAGAGATGCAAGACACCATTTCAGCAAGGTCTACAAACTTTGACAAGGGTAAATTAGGATCTTTTGCGATTTCAGCAAGGTATGCATCTATCAATTTTGCCACCATCAACTTGGAAGCATTGGTTAAAATTCCGGGACTTCGTATTTCCTGGACCTCATTTTCTTCCAACTCGAGTTCAGCATTTTGATCTTGCATCAGAAACTCTTTCACTATTTTCTGTACCATAACAACATCATACATTACATCTTCCCCTTCACCTGCTCGTATCAAAAGATCGTTTACAGAAGCCTCCTCCAACTGCTGTCCTATTCGACTCACCAGTCGTTCCTGAGCCATTTCTCCCGAGTCAGCAACGATGGCTGCTTTCAATAACTTCAGCAAGAAACCGCAAGATACACTTTCCTTCTCTGCAGGCAACGACCAGACAATTGTTTCAACTGTCGATCTATACTTAACGACATCCCCTGAATGGATCCCACCCTTACTGAAACCGGGCAACCTTCCGTAAGAATAAGCTTTCAAAGCTTCTCCGATCACATCATGAGACAGTATTCCTTTTAGTTTAATATTCATTATGACACGCTTATACAGATCTATTTCAAGTTCACACAAATCCTCGACCCACCAGTCCTTTGGCACAGGTCGGCTTCTGAAACCATTAGAGTTTGGATCGTTCCCATTTTCCTCTGGGAGCTTCCTCCGGTTATAAGTGTAGGACCAATCGACCTTGGAAACATCAATGCAAGCCTTGGTAGCTATAGCATCGATGCAAAGACTGACCACCTTCAATTCCTCGGATAATGGTAACATAGATTTCGTGGCCTGAAGAACAATGATCGAATCCTTCCAGCTGTGGAAGATGCTTGAGTTAAGGAAGACATCGATCTTGTAAATTAGGTTCCCTTTTTCAATGGTCTCGTACATTCCTAAGTACTCAGCTGCACATCGAGCAGCGACAACATTGTAAGGATTAAGGGTGACAGTCATGCCATAACAAAACTTGACACATATCTCGAAGGCAGCTGGACCTCCAGGAATGTCGAAAATCTGAACATCATTGTTTTCCTCATTACCACTTGCAAGCAACTTTTGCAAGTATGCACTTTTTGACAGAAGAGGGAACTGCATATATATTCATAAAGGTATAAGCTCAGATTTCATGCAAGGAATATTGTAATGCATTCCAACAAGGACGTTATGCTCAAAGACAATGCTTTACCATAGATGGAAATTTACGTAAACCGGAAGAAAATGCATACCTTGTGCAGATAAAACTTGACATCCCCTACAATGACAGTTACGTCGGTTGCCAGCTCGCTTGCCACATTCCTGGCACGAAGATATAAGTTTAAAAACATCAGAACCTCAAAAAATGCACGCAGGCCAGACAGACAAAATTATATACACATGTATATAAACTCCACTATACTTTGGATTTTCACGTTTATAATACCCAAAAGTCATTTAGCTTCGGGTTGCACCCAACACAGTGACCTACACCAGAAACCAAAAACCGGACCGTGGTATATTTATCTAATTAAGAAAAAGCGATTTACATTCGCATTAAGCTGCAAAACGAATACATGTGATGTCTGTGGTGCTCTGATGTATAGGCTTGTAGTGACGATTTACAAGATGTATTCAACATATTGATGATGTTAAAAAACCTAGAGCCGTAAAACATGAAACAAATTCTTGAAGAAAGTAGTACAAAATGGACACCAATATATTACCACATCAGAATAGTACATGGAGAATTCAGATTTCATCATGGCAAGATTAGTGTCCAAAGAAGGGGTAATCCCATCTAATTCTAACAGGATGTTGTTATGATTAATTTATTTTTGAACCTCATACGGCATTCCTGAGTATGTTTTTGCTTTAACAAATTCAGGGTCAAACACATCACAGTATCCGATGAGAAAGAACGTGACTATAAAGAACCGAAAGTGGAAGATTATCCATATCTTCATAACCAGAAGTTAAACTACCTATTGTTGGATATCAAGGATCATGAATTTGAATTCATAACCCATTTGCGCAACGTACAATCAGAGTTAGTATAACCAGAATATGCTGAAGGCCAGAAAGTATAACATAAACACAAGGAACCATAAAGGATTTAACTGAAAAAAGGATCAAAGGTCAAAACCAAAGAAGAATAGCCAGATTTTCAAGGATATCCACCACTTCGGAGAGAAAACACTTGAATGATGAGATGAGAGGGGATTTGCATTTAAAAAAGATTCTAAGCAGCCAAGTATGGATGCGCTAAGAGGAGCATAACAAACCAATGGCCTAAAAAGGCTGTGAATCACATCAAATGCTCTACAGCATACCGATAAACGGTCATCCAGAAAAGGATGAAAATTTCAGTGTAGTCCCAAGAAGACTCCTAGTTTAAGCATAATAGACAAAGAGGCTAAGTTACCTCAATTGTTGGATTTCCGAGTATGCAGTTGAAATGAACAATGATAATTGACTGAGGCAAGAGATTATCAGTTAATGGTCTTATGCAAGAGTTAATGGATTTGAACAACATAGTGGATTTAGTTTTTTCTTTTTCAGTTATTGGAGGAGGGGGGGGGGGACAAATGATAGATTGCAAAAAGGGTCCAAGAGATCTTACCTCACATTGTTCCCATCGCTCTGAAAGGTATCTGGCTTTGATCCAAGCTTCATAAACTTCATATTAACAAACAATAGAACCTTTTCCCTCTCTAAAACCTCAAAAACAATATTCTTAGCTACTCGATCGGATTACAAGTAAAGCAAATACCATACACTTAGCTACTCACATAACCAATGAAACATAACATCAACTCCAGGAAAAACTTGCCAGAAGTAGTAACCAATGCCCCAACTGTGGGGACCAAGCTTTCCAAATTCAATCAGCTTTCGGTGATTCTATAGACTAAAGGCCGATCCAGAGGAAGGGATATATAATAAGGAAGAGTATGACCGAATCTTGACAGCGATCTGAATAAGAGAGAGAAACAGATAACTGGAGAAATGGTGGTGGGATTTCGAGTAATAATTTAACAAAAGGTTCTCTTGAATGGCAAGAGAGCCAAGGAAGAGGTTGTTTCCTTTGTTGACGGCAAAGCCCACCGAGTCCGGGCGCACTCGGTCGGCTCAGGGGACATAAACAACAGACTCTTCACACCAAAATAATTCCAAAAACCACAGAGTATCACAAGCACCAATCTGCTTCACCTCCACTATTTCTTTATTTCACACTGGTTATTCTGTTCCTTTGTTTCCCCCTTTAATAAATATATAAGAGATTCATATCACCAGGACCCTTAAAGCTTCAAGTTCCAAACTTGACATATACTAATCAAATATATACATATATAATATGTATTTCTTTTACCGTTGAAGGCTGAAATCCTGCAATGGAAAACAGCATCTTGGTATCAGTTGAAGAAACCACCAAAACAGTAGACAACAAGCATCTACCTTTATTATTATTATAATTCTTCCAGAGTATGGGAATCAATGAAAAAGGATAACAAAAATTATAAAAACGTATTATAGTAATGAACCATCAAATATCAACTGCCAACAACAACAACAATAAATATCTATTCACAAATTGGAACTGAAATCTAAAGAAATCTACCAGAATATATCACGGAAATCTAATTAAATAACACAAAATCCCAACACTCCATATCAGATTACTTATATTTTCTGTAAAAGAAAAAAATCACAAGCACCCCACCACCGCCACAGGAATGGGAAATTACCAAGGAATTTACACAACCATTGCAAGGAACTTGTGTCGAATGCAGGAAGTAATGAAATTTACACACGAAACCCAGAAACCATATAAAAAGAACAGCATTCAAACAAGACTCGATTTTTGAAGAAAAAAACCAAAGATGTTGGCAAATTTACACACGAACCGAAAAAACTTTAACTTTTGATGCTTTGGGTAATTTCTCTTTACCAATATTGGTGAATTTAGCTGCTTAGTTTCCACTGGGTTTCTGGGAGAAAGAGCAAGCATTAACACAACATGTAAGCTCAGTAAAGCAGGCCAAAAGGCTGACACTCGGCTTTCTTGTTGGCTTCCATTCAAATCATATGGTGATTTTTTCCGACCAAAATAAAAAAAGAAGGCAGCATGGCTCAATATAAAATTGGAGTTACAACTTTTCATATTCCCCGGTTGAACACTTCCCTATAAAAGTAAAAATTTTGGAGAGGTGTCTGTATGAAAATCCCACACATGTTGCTGACTGTATCACACAGTATATGATATATATATATATATATATATATATATATAAACCCAAGAGCTAGATCTTCTCATATACTAAAAAAAAAAAGGTTTTTAAGACTTTCTTAACATACACTTGATTCCTTGACTTCTTTTCAATTTAACCAATCTTCATGGGCAGATTTTTTACCAAAAGTCATTGTGTGGTTGGGGGGATTCCGATGAGAAAATCTGCCTAATTTTGAACATAAAAGGGTTAATTCAACCCGGCATCTTCAAACTATCACTCGAATTTTAAATTAGTCTTTTATTTTTATAATTGTTTGATTAAAGTTAGTATTATATCAATTAGATCACTCCATTGATCTAAAGACAACTTGGGCATTAAATATCATATTGGATCAGACATGATGACTCATATTTAGAACACATGCATAGTTATTGTACGAAGAGTTTGGACATGACACAATTAAAAAATGTCTATTTTTTTTAACATTTCTTATATAAGGATAGTAATTTGATTTAAATGTAATGAACTTTGATATGATATGATATGATTTTATTGAATTAATTAGATTGGATTAGACTCAAAATAGGTCGAATTTTATAAAGGATGATATCAGGTCGAGTTTGGATTTAGGATAATAAATCTCTGATATGATCCGATACAAGAAAATGATATATTTTTTTTATATATTTAAATATAGTTACTATAATACTTCTCTCCAATTAGGTCCTATTTTTTAAAATAAATTTTTTTTTAAATATTTATGTTGGGTCAAGGATGCAAGTTTTATCGCAAAATTTAAGTTGAGTTTTAGGTCGGATGAGATCTCTCTGAATCCATGCCAGGTCCAATTTAGGTGTATGAGATATGTTTCTTAAATTGATTCGTGTTGATTAAAAACTTGATCTAACCTGATTTTTTTTACCGTTCATAGTCTCAAGTTCTAATTAATATACTTTGAACTTGATTTATAAATATAAAATTATTTAAAATGTGATTTATATGTTCAAAATATACTTTAATTCAGATTTGAATTAATATATCTCATTCAAATTAACAATTAAATTAGAAAATAATAATAAATAGGATATTAATACTTTGAACATGAATTATCTAGAAGGGAATAAAATTGTGTAGCTTATAACCATATGCTAGCCGTGGAAAAATAGGTCCCCAAATCTGTCTAACTTTGACCCACCACATGCTTTTACAAGTTTATTTGATTTGTTTGCCAAACTAAAGTTTGACCCAAATCTATCTATCTATTCAGTTCACATATATATTCACTATGATTGTAAGCGAACCGAACGTTCAACGAATCGTTCGTGAATCGTTCGACCGGAAGTTTGTTTATGTTTATATGCTAGCCGTGGAAAAAATAGGTCCCCAAATCTGTCTAACTTTGACCCACCACATGCTTTTACAAGTTTTTATTCATTAAACGAACGAATATGAATAATATTTTGTGTTCATTTAATTAAATGAACGAATATGAACAGAGGGCTCGTTCGTTCATTTATGTTCATGAACGTTCAGTAATATGTTCGTTTATGTTCGTTCATTTATGTTTGTTTATGTTCGTTCGTCTATGTTCGTTTATGTTTGTTCGTCTATATGCGTTCATTTATGTTTAGCCCAATCTTTCTGGGCCCATTTAAAATATTAGATCCCAATAAATTTTAATATGATACCCATAAATATTTTAAAATGCAATTAATTTTAAATATAAATAAAAAAAACTCAAAACAATTAAATATAATATAATCCTAAAATTGTTAGGAAATAAAAAAAATCTATTTTTATTTATGTTTGTTTACGTTCGTTTACGTTCATTTATGTTCATTTATTGTGTTCATTTACGTTCATTCGTTCGTTTATGTTTGTTTATCATTTAAATGAGCGAACACGAATAAACTACATTACTTAATGAACAAACACGAACAATTTTTTTTTGTTTCGTTTATGTTCATGTTCGTTCATTTGTTCGGTTAAAGTTAAACGAACGAACATGAACATAGCCATGTTCTTGTTCGTTCGGTTCGTTTACAGATCTAATATTCATCTGTAAATATTTGAACATAAAATAAAGATAAAATCCTAAAAGGTTTCTCATTGGACCAAGAGGATTAATGCAAGTCAATCATAGGTTGAAAATCCTATTAATTTACCTTAGTAATCAAGGAGTGTGATTCTTCTTACATATTTTAGATTTAAGTAGTTACGACAGTAGAGTATGTAAATAAAAAATATTTTGAATAGACCTTTTAATCATCCCAACCGATTTAAAAATATATTAAATAAAAGGGAAATACAAAACATAAACATTACGATCTAAACCTACGGCTAATACAACTCATTAATTAGTGTACTATACGTTAAGGGAAAACAAAAAATAATAATAGCAGTAAAAGAGATTACTTGGTGGACGACTAACGCGAATGCACATCACATGCACGTCTTAAAAGCTAACAATTTGCTTGATCATGCCAACCATTTGATCACTCTTCTGTGTTTTCGTTTCCATGCATCATGCCATACGTCACATGCATAGATCCATCCATCATTGACTTGTTTAAATTTTAAAAACTATATTATATTTGTTTGATTAATTAGTGAGTACGACGTCAAAAAAATTATTTTGTTTTGTACTAGTTTATGAAACTATTCTTTAAAATCATTTACTTGTTTATATTTTAAAAACTATTCTTTAATATTGTTTGTGAAACTAATAAGTTCTATTATTAAAATATCAAATAATAGTTCACATAAGATAATAATTATTATTTTAAAATACTATTTTTTATTAATAAAATATTGAATAATAATCTTCTGTATATATTATGCTTGAATTACAAAGTAAAGATAAACACCCAACATAATATAAACAAGCATGGAATTTAAGATCCTTTGTCTGCCTCTTAGCATTTTACATTATCATGAAAGACTTGTAATTAGTGTTAGCATGTTGACATGATGACACCATGCATGCCCCTCTTAACAACATTCTTTGGTCAATTTGAATCACTAGTCCTTGGGTTATGAATAAATTGTTAATTTAAATATTAATAATTCCTCTGCATGTTATATTTTTTAATGGTATGCTCTGGTGGTACCGAGAAGATATAGTATGATTATCCTATTTTCCCGATTGATAGTCCCGAATTTGATTTTCCTTAGTTTATCTGAGTGGATTCGGAAAAATATATATTTTATATTGATTTTGACCTTTTTGTTTGATTGGCATGTTGATGGTCGGCTGAAACGATGACGTCAGAGTGATTTAGCCTAGGCAACGACGGTGGCAGGAGTAGAGAGTGGTGACGGTGGCGCAGTAGGTCTAGGGTTATGGTGAAATCCTAGTTCCCTTTTCATCCGGCCCGTTAGATCAAGCACAGATCCAACGGTTGGGAGTAAGGTAGCGGCTGGAGAAAGGGTGAAATCCTAATTGTTTCCCACATGTTCCTTCATTTGGGCCTGTTCCTTGGGTTGTTTTGTGTTTTTTTGGCCTTGTAATTGTAACCTATTAACAAAAAATAAAATAATAAAAAATTATTATGTATATATATATATATTTAATTATCTAATATGTACTTAATATACTAACACTAACCTAAAATGTAATTACATTAACAATTACCAATTTTATCAATAAAAATTAAAACATATATAATTTAATAAACTTAATAATTTTATCAAATAAACAATGTAAATTAAAAAGAAATCCGAAAGAAATGTAGTGTCTACATCTGTCTCTTTTTGTCCGTTGTCAGGTGACGAGTATTAGGCAAAGACCAAAGACACTATTTTTTCCAACCTTAATGTTCACTCTAAATCTGAAGTCCCTCATTCCAAGGTAAAGAATCTGAATATAACTTTGTTCCTTCTTGTTGAGGATGTCGGGTCGCATTTCGATGATCCATTACTTTGTTTAAGGTCTCTAGGTTTGCTGACGACATTGTTCCTTTGTGATGAGGATGTCTAATCTTATTTGCATGATTGTGTATCCGAAGACAACATGGTTCCTTCATGTTGAGGAAGTCTAATTGCCTTTAGATAATTTGCCTTTGAGGAAGACTACTGATGGTGGCTAAAAGTAGGAGTTGAGGACACAACCTGCTGATGAGGATACAGC